TTTAAGGTAAGGGGGAGGAGAACTTTGTTTCTTTAAAATTTTATTTACTACTATGTTATTTATTTATGTTATTTTCTTGATTCATTTATCTAGTGAGGTGTCTCTAACCTCATTTATTTGATTATTCTATGCTTATTTTTATCCATAATAATTGTTAATTTGTTCATATTTTATATTGTTTCATTATTTTATAATGATTGTCATTTTTATTTATATTATTGGTACTATTAATATATTCTTTTTACGTAAATATATTTATTGTAAATATATTTATAATTAACTATGATATAGTTTTGTTAAAGTCTCTTTGACTCATGTTATTATTTCTTCACGTATTTATGAAGATAAATATTGTTCTATGGCCATAGAAGATAAAGTTTGAATTATTTATAGCTGGAGGTTTGACATTGGGGATTTAAATGAGTAAGCATTTATGGAAAAATATTTTGTTGATATTTGATTGATATTACAATAATGCTCATTTATCCTGACTAGTCATTATTAAAATGATTCAAATTTTATTATTTAATTTTTATATAAATAATCTTGTTACTTATTTAATTAATTATATTTATTTAATAAGTGTTCTCACTCCTTATTTCTTGTTGTGAAAATTTTAATATATATAAAAAGATGGATCTCCAGCTATTCCAGGTCCTTTTACAGGAGTGATCACTGTTGTATTCCCCGGGGGTAATTGGGGAATAGATGCTATTTCCAACTCTGTCACATTCCAAGGCATCGCACTGTCTTCGTTCTTTTTCTTCCCGATCAAGAAAACCCTACCACCATAGATGGACCTATTATCGTGACTTTCCTTTTACCACCGGCAAATCATATAAATCCTATTGTGAACTTGTTTCCACCACCACCAATATAAATATTATTGTAATAGTCGTGTAAAATAACAAGATATATATATAGAATAGGTAATGCGTGTAGAATAATATGTGTGTAAATATTAAAAATAATAATGTAAGATATATGAGTAGTTTAAAATGATGTACATATCTTAGTAAATATTTTAAGATCCTTTTAAGTATATATATATATATATATATAACTCTATAAACGTATAAAACTAGGATTAATATGTATATTTTAGAAGTTACACACAACTTTACCTATTATTCAAATTTAAAAATCACTCTCTTATTATAGTTATTTTACACTTTTTAATAATTTTTAGTTAAAAATATTTTTTAAGCCCACACAAGACATAGACATAAAGTGCCTATTATGTAACTAGTTTTAATAAATATAACCACTAGGTTGTTGTAGATTAATCAACATCCCTAATATGTATGAATTAATGAACAATTTTTTATGGATCATTTTAAAAATAATTCTGAACATAATTTTTTTCATGGACATGACCATCTAGTATTTAGTAATTAAAGACTAATTTACATTCGAGAATGTCTCTGAACATATAATATAACTAAAAAATAATAATAATAATTGAAAACAAATATTTAAAGTATTTAGTAAAATATATTCATTGTTGTAAAATTTATTGTTATTATTATTACTACCGAAAAAAAATATCTACCTCCATTAAAAAAAAATTTAACAAGCGTTTTTTCCCCTTATAATTTGTGTGATTATTGAGAATTATATGTAATTATCAAATATAAAATAAGAAAGGTGAAAATAGATACCAAATATTTTTTTTTTATTATTATTAGTATGGATTTACTTTCACGTTTCTCAGAAAAAATAATCGGAAATTAAATTAAAACAATGTAAATAATTTAAATAAAATGATTCCATTTTATTGACTAAACAAAACTTTATAATCGGGTTGAGTTATTTAAAAATAAGAAAAAAAATCATTAAATAAACATTAAACGTGAATGTTAAACAAGTTTAATAGTTGTATTTAATTGATTTAGCATAATTTTATACTATCAATTAATCATAAATCATCAATTGATGTAGCTTGTAAGAAACTATTTTAAAAACAACAAATTTATTATATAATAATTTATAATTAGATGATAATATAAAATTTTTATATTGACGAAGTGTAACTTATTTTATTATTTTGAGTTTAATGATTGACCATGTATTATTATTGTAAAAAAGTTTTACATTATTAACTAATAAAAAATTATTGTTGGTATGATTTTTAGAAAATATTTAGTAGAAGTGAAATTTTCAATGTCCTTAGATATTATAAATCTCAATAATTATGATTATTAATGATAATTAAAATTAATTAGTTATAACTATTTTTGAAATGTTTAGAAGTTAGTGACTTTTACTTCATTAAATAAATAAATAAGAGGAACGTAAGAAAAATTTATTATACATAATAAATTACTATTAATTGAGAATGTAAAACTAATTTAAGTGAACGATGCATTACTTTTTTTTTTTTAATTATTTGGATAATAGTGAAAAAACTATTTATACTTATCGATTCATAATTTATTTATTTTTTTAATTGAGAATCAAGGCATCTTCAACTAATCCAAAGCTAAAATCTAATTCTCAATATACTAATATTCACTAAAAAAGCTGACCCCTCTCTCATGCGTTTTCCATGCACATAGATCTAAAGATTTGACTACATAATCAAGTGAGGAAGTTATCCGCAACAATATTTAGTATTTACTCTAAAAAAAAAAAAAAAATATCTATAACAGAAAAATAACGAAACACAATAAACATTTAATTTTTAATAAAAATCGTGGCGTAAAAACTTGGAAGATATTTAGCGTAAACTAATTCCAAAGCAGGTCTTAACAGAAATTACAGCAGCAGCACATGTTGTGGATCTCGCAGCTTTCACACCGCCTCTGTCTTTGACACTCTTTTTCAAACTTTTTTTATAATTATTTTAATTATTTGATTTACTTATTATATTATTCATTTCGTCGGCAAATTCCAATTCTAATTAAATGAGGCAGTGTCATTTGGCAGCTGCGACCAGCTACTAAACTCTCCTCTTACTCTCTGCTATTTATATCACTAACTCCTCTCAAAGCTTTCACTTCACACTTCTCTTCTCTTCCGTCTCTCCCTAACGCACTATGGAGAGATAGCATTTCTCTCTTCTCTCTCAGATCTGCGTCTCTTCCAAGAACCACAGGTACGCATTCAGATCGCGCTTCTTCTTCTCGCGCTCACGCGTTTTCTTCTCCGAATCAAACGAGCCTTATCTTCTTGCTCTCTTTTCCTTCAGCGCAACGCTGCTGATTCGCTTGCGAGGAATCTTGTTCCGCGTTCGCGTAAGTTTCATGCTCGCTACACCAGATCCGTGTGATTCTTGCTTATTTTAATCCGTTTTTTTTCCTATCTTATGCACCGAGAACATGTCTTTATTGGAAAAGAATGTATTTATTGTGTTGCGCACTCCAAAATCATTTAATATAGCAGTACTTGTTTTGTTTGAGTGATTGTAAGCGATTAAAAAGGTACAGTAGGTAGTTCAATGTATTCAATGTTAACATGTGCATAGGATAGGAAAATCGCACTTCGATATGTTTAATATTGGTAATCCGCATCTTACTTCGTTTCGAGAGTCTGTGTCGGTGTTGGATTTTGCTAATTAATATTATCACATGCAAACGAAGTGGTTTTTTTTTTTCAACTTTTAAGTGTGAAAATGTTATGATTCGTTTAGTTGAAACTGAAACTCTGGTTTTGTAATGTTAGCTCTATCTGATATAGTTTCCCAATCGTTTGGGTTTTACTGATTGGATTTACCTATTTTTGGTTAGTTTAGCTTTCATTGTCTTGAATATTTCCAAATGCTCCTACATTTTCGGGGCGTTAAATGTTTTTTTACTTTTTTTTTATTTAATACTTTCTTAGTTTCTTTATGAAGTGGTAGCGACTAGGAAGGTTTATAGGAGGATTTGTAGCGTTTTTTATTTTGTTAGCTTGTCTTGCACAAGCAGTTTGGTGTAACGCTTTGTTTCTGAGTGCTGTTTAATTCTTGTTTGGTTCGTGACCAGGTGTAATTCATCTTTGAATTCACTCTGACAAGATGGCTTTGGGGAAATATACTAGAGTAGATGGTAGAAGATCATCGAGTTGGTGTTCGACGGTGACTGTTGTCGTGTTTGTGGCTCTATGCTTGGTTGGTGTTTGGATGATGACATCATCTTCAGTTGTCAATGTGCGTAGTGGAGATCAGGCTCAGGAGAGTAATACTGAAGTGAAAGAAAAAACCGAGGTGAAAGAATCGGTGAGTGAGATCAGCAATAGCAATAGTAGGCAGTTTGAAGATAACCCAGGTGATTTGCCCGAGGATGCAACCAAGGGGGACAGCAATGTGACCTCTGAAGATGACTCGAACCCTTCAGATAAACAAGAAGAGAAGTTGGAGGAAAATCCTGTAGAGAAGTCTTCTGAAGATGCAAAGACAGAAGACGGGGATAAGAAAATTGAGGAGGAAGGTTCTAATACAGAAAATGAATCAAACTCAGACTCTGCGGAAAGTAACAAAGACAGTGACGAGACTTCCACCAAGGAATCTGATTCCGAAGAGAATGAAAAGAAATCTGAATCAGATGATAACAAGAAGTCTGATTCAGATGAAAGTGAAAAGCAATCTGATAACTCTGATGAAACAACAGATAGTAAGATAGAGGAAAAGGTGGAAGAAAATGATAACAAGGAATCTGATGAAAACTCTAGTGAGAAGAATACAAATGATGATACCAAACAGCAGAGTTCAAATGAGGTATTCCCTTCTGGGGCTCAGTCAGAGCTTCAAGATGAAAGTACGACACAAACTGGGTCTTGGTCAACTCAGGCAGCAGAGTCTAAGAATGAAAAGGAGTCTCAAGAATCCTCCAAGCCAGCAACTGGGTACAATTGGAAGCTTTGCAATGTCACTGCTGGTCCCGATTTTATCCCATGCCTTGACAACTGGAAAGCTATTAGGAGTCTCCGGAGTACTAAACACTATGAACATCGAGAAAGGCACTGTCCTGAAGAACCTCCTACCTGCCTTGTTTCTCTTCCTAAAGGATATAAACGCTCAATCGAGTGGCCTGAAAGCAGAGAAAAGGTAAAAACCAACTTAAATCTTCTCAATTATTATTCTCCGGCCGACTGTTTACTTGTTCCTAAATAGTAAGTTATTCCCCTGCAGATTTGGTATTACAATGTTCCACACACCAAGCTTGCTGAAGTTAAGGGCCACCAGAATTGGGTGAAAGTTACTGGCGAGTACCTTACTTTTCCTGGGGGTGGAACCCAATTCAAGCATGGGGCACTTCATTACATTGACTTTATACAAGAGGTAATATATGCATACATGTGTTTGTGGGTATGAAATTTGAATTTAGTTTGTTTCTTTTAATGATGTGTTCATAAGTATATAGATCAGTATGTTTTTGCTGCATGTTCCATACATGGAAGTTATGTGTTCTGCTACAAATGCAGTATCCGCCTATCATATTTTATCTTCCACTGAGCAAATTTCCCATCTTCTATCTGCTTTTTTTTTTGTTTCTCCAATTATCTTATTCAAAAACAACTTTAAAATAAATAAAACAAACAAGATAAGGATAAGGGAGGATCAGGATACTGTTGTTATATATGCCACAAATCTCCATGAGTTGTGCATGCTCTAGTATTTATGATGCATTCACACATTTTGACCCATATATAGACAACTTATCCCCAATTTGTCCTGTGCCTTAAAGGGAAAAAAACATTTCAGAACTGTAGGCCTATAATAATGTTATGGAAACTCTACAAATCTTGTAGATCGAAGTTTATGGAGGCATCTCATAGCTAACTCGTTTGAGTTGTACTTGTCTAAGACTCTTGAGTTTTCTCTTTGATATGATACCTGTATCTTGACAATGACATAATTATGATTATTTTTCATTGTCTAGCACGTAGTTTAGACTCAAATCATTAGGAATTGCACATAGGGTCCATACCATCAAAGAAATCGATGATAAACAAGAGTCTTATTTGAATTTGAATGGACTTAAAAGTTCTGCAATGACCTTCTGTGCCGCTGCCAGCAGTTGAAATCAAGTTACATAGGATGACAAACCTTTCCCCCCACTATTATGTCTAGCCAGGACAAGGCCAAGCATGTAGGAAACTATACACATGTGGTGCACTGGGAGACAACCAAAATTTTGACACAGTCATAGCTATATCATTTGTTATTCTTCAAATGATCTTCTTTATCAGTAGTAGAAGTTATGGTATATAGTATATAGTATAATAAGAAGTCTATTTGTTTTCATCCTAGAATTGATCTAGGTTTTTATAATTTGTTTACTTGATGTTATTGAGCATTTTATCTAATGGGGCTTTGGTGATATACAGACTGTACCTGACATTGCTTGGGGCAAACGCACACGTGTTATACTAGATGTTGGATGCGGTGTTGCAAGTTTTGGAGGTTTTCTCTTTGATAGAGATGTACTTGCTATGTCACTTGCACCAAAGGATGAACATGAAGCTCAGGTACAATTTGCACTTGAAAGGGGGATTCCTGCTATATCTGCTGTGATGGGCACAAAGAGGCTTCCCTTCCCCGGGAAAGTATTTGATGTAGTCCATTGTGCACGATGTAGAGTTCCATGGCATATAGAAGGTATTCCGATTACATAACTTTTATTTTGGTTATTTGATGAATTCATTATATAGCATTTTTCTAAGCCATATTCATTTTAGGCATTTAGATTATAAGAGCATGTAAACTGTATCGATGTAAAATACATGTGAGTGCAGCTGGCTTTTACTTTAGAGGCTTTATTTATTTATTTATTTATTTTTTTTGTTGGGGGGGGGGGGGGGGGGGGGTTTTAGCTTTTATCTTCAATTATTTGTCTAAGTCTTTTTTTGGATATATTTTTAATTAAAAAGTTTTTTCCCCTATAAATAACAAAAAAATATAGGTCCTTGGAAGAAACCTAGAATCCATTTTTTTTTTCTTTTGAAATAGGTTGAGAGTTTTTTAATCCTTAAGGACCTTAACTATTGTCTTTGGGGGGGGGGGGGAAGGGGAGTTTTATTATTAAGAGAAAACAAGAGGCAATTCATTTGTTTGAAATACACGTGGAGGCTAACAATTACAAGAATCACCAATATCCTAATTACTGTAATTACAAGATATGGTTAGCCTATTTACAATATATATTTTCCAACAATTATTATTATACAACTGCAGGTGGTAAACTTCTTTTGGAGCTGAATAGAGTATTGCGACCTGGTGGTTTTTTTGTGTGGTCAGCTACTCCTATTTATCAGAAGCTTCCTGAAGATGTTGAAATATGGAATGGTAAATTATTGCTAGACATATGTCCGACACTGATGCATTTTAATGTAGGTTTTTTAATCCTGACATGTTATGAATTCATTTGCAGCCATGAAGAAACTAACAAAAGCAATCTGTTGGGAACTCGTGTCAATCAGCAAGGATCAAATAAATGGAGTAGGTGTAGCCGTATACAAGAAGCCAATGTCCAACGAGTGTTATGAGCAACGTTCAAAGAATGAGCCTCCGCTGTGTCCAGACTCTGATGATCCTAATGCAGCATGGTATTTCTTTGTTAACTTTCTTTTTTTAAAACCAAAACAGAAGAAAGAGTTCTTGATTTAGTTAATTGCTGAGCCCATCTTTGACTATGACATTATGAGAAGACTTTAAAATAAAGCGGCATATTCATTTCTAATCTCCCTATTTGTTGAAAGAAGGAATGTTTATATAAAGAAAAATGAAACAGCGCTTTTGATACAGCTGAGGGTTTTGGATGTTTCTGCTAAGGTTTAAAAAACATTTCAGTATTATAGCATATAAATGCAGTCTAAACTCTTCGATGTGACAGGAACATTCAATTGCAAGCTTGCATACACAAAGCGCCTGTTAGTTCAAAGGAACGAGGGTCAAAATTGCCAGATAAGTGGCCAGCCAGACTGACCAAAGTGCCTTATTGGTTGCTGAGTTCCCAAGTTGGAGTTTATGGAAAGCCTGCTCCTGAAGATTTCACTGCTGATTATGAACACTGGAAACGCGTAGTGTCCAAGTCTTATCTAACTGGGATGGGAATCCAATGGTCAAATGTACGCAATGTCATGGATATGAGATCTATCTACGGAGGGTGAGCAAAAAGTCATTTTTTCGTGTTACTCTGAATTATATTCACTTGCTAATGCATCCTTCTTTGTTTGACATCTTTCACCATATGTGGTTTCCAGATTTGCTGCAGCTTTGAGAGATTTGAATGTTTGGGTCATGAATGTGGTTACAATAGACTCCCCAGACACTCTACCCATTATCTACGAACGAGGTCTTTTTGGTATATATCATGATTGGTGTGAATCATTTAGCACGTATCCTAGGACCTATGATCTCCTCCATGCCGATCATCTGTTTTCAAAGCTTAAGAAAAGGTGCAAATAACTATTTCATTTCTCATTCATCGCCGGCAAACTTTTGGTTATCTGATTAATTTAAAACTGTTACTCTGGTTTTGCTAATGCTCATTGGTCACAGGTGCAATTTGGCTGCTGTAGTGGCTGAGGTTGATCGGATTCTCCGGCCTGAAGGAAAACTTATTGTTCGTGACACTGTTGAGATCATTGACGAGCTTGAGAGCATGGTAAGGTCTATGCAGTGGAAGGTTCGCATGACTTACTCCAAGGATAAGGAGGGCTTGCTATGTGTGCAGAAGTCCACGTGGCGTCCTAAGGAGCAGGAGAAACTCGAGTATGCTATTATTTAAGCACGGATGGAATGTCAAAGTTCTTGGATTTTTGGGCTACTCGAAATTCCTTTGTATAAGTGTACTTCCACTACGAGTCATGTATCATGGTAGTTAGGAATCTATTTTATTTTCTTCGTTTTCTATTGGGTATTAATTTTGATATCCTCTATTTAAATTTATAGAATGGTGACCTTTGTTGTAACATGGTGCCATAGCGTGAAGGAAATTTTATCACATTATTGCAAATGTAGAGAGGTCATAATTATAATTATAAGCATGTAATAGTTGAGAATTTGGAATATGCACCTCACCAGAAATGGCAGTATTAATCTAAATTATAATGCTCCGACTTTATACAGGTGAATCGGTTAGGCAATTGGTTTGATTCTCAAAGTACCACAAACTAACTGTTGGTACGTTTTAGTGAAAATTTGGTAAATATTCCTTTTCTAACTAGTTATATCCTAAAATCTGATTAGATCATCAAGAGTACCTACTAGTTGTTGCAAATCCATTAGAAGAGTTCGTCCTTAGTTGGCTTGTCATTTAAGAGGCTTCATTTTCCTGGTAAGGTCTATTTTCCAGAAAGGGGCCATGTACTTCCTTTTGTCTTCACTACTGTTAATGGTTCTTGTATTCTATCTCCATCATAACTTTTACGGTTTTATATTTAAGTATTTCAAATTTTTATTTTTATAATATTCTTATTCAAGTCAAATTCTTTCAAAAATATATTCTAACACTTGATTAAAATAATACACTATCATATCATTTTTTTTACCAAGTCAAAGTGTTCTTGAAAAACTTTTTTTTAATTATTTTTTATGCTCAATGAAAAAATTGACGATACTAATAATGCAATTTTAATTTTTATAGGATTTTAGGCAATCCAGTCTTTCTATCTTTTTAAATTTAACAAATTTCAGCTCCATCAATTTATTCTACTTCAAATCTTAAAATTTTCATTTTCTTCTAAAAATTTTTAAAACCTTCTTGTTTTGTTAGATTGCATTTTTGGTTTTCTATAATATAATTCACAAATTTGATTCTTTAATTTTTAATTTTGTAATTTTAACCTCTTAATTTTGTAAAATACATAATTTTGATTCTTCCGTTAAATGTCATAACAACTTTCTAATATTAAGTCATAGTCAATGTTACAAAGGATATTTTTAACTTTTAATACTATAAATTTCTAATATGTATTTTTAAAAGACTTGAATTTAAGTCCCTAGAAAAGTTTGTGTCCCTTGCAGGACTAACTTTAGAAACTAAACTTTAGGAAACATTTGTTTCATAGAATGATGTTGTATTCTTGAGAATCATTTTGTGATAATATAATCCAAAATATTATTCCTAAAAATATAAGAAAAGATGTATGGTGCATTTTAATATTCCTAAAAATATTTTCTAAAATTTAAAATAGTCTGAATAAAAAAATAAATAAAAGTTGAAGTTACAAGTGTTATAAACTGATTATGAGAATATTATTTACCCACTCTTCTACTATAAGATTAAAACTCTCCTACCATAAGATTAAAACTCTCCTATCGTTCAGAATATAGCTTTCTTAACGTTTCAAATTGAAAAACATAATATGACTCATCTAGCCACTTAACCAAAGTCAAAACATTCAAAAATGTGTTTTGTCCTTCTTTGTGGGTTAGAGTTTTTATACTTGGTCGTTATTCCTTTATGGCTTTGAGGACTTTGAGATTTTATTATATATTTTGCTCATAATTAGGATAAGATTTGTGCCAAATATGGTCTCAAGTTGGATTTGTGTCGATATCTCTAGGGGATCAAGTTACTCGGTATATTAGGGATATGATTGGTGAGGTACTCAGCCAAAACCTCTTAGTCAGAACCTCTCTTTGCAAAAGGAGGGTACACTTGCCCACCAATCTCGAGCATGAAAGGCATAAAGGCCAATTTGCCAAATTGTCAGATCTTTTTGACTAAATCTTCTCGATTAGATTCTCTCAATCAAATCCTCTCGACCAGGTTTTCAGATCCTTTCGATCAGATACTCTTGATTAGATCCTCTCAATCAAAACCTCTCAGTTAGAATATCTCTTAGCAAAAGGTTGGGAGGGTACACTCAAAAATAAAAGAAATGCGAGAATGTTATTGCATGACATTCTAATAAATGTTAAAATAAACATTATCTCCTTCATATTTGTGGGAATAAAAGATGACTCGAAACAAATGCTTACTGAAATTTAAAAAATATTGGAACAAAAATCTATAACTTTAAAATTTGGGGACTAAAATAAAAAATATCCATCTTAAAGAAACCAAAATCACCATTATCCTTATAACATTTATCACATAAGAAAATAATTTTGCTCGTTGTAAATGAGTAGTGTGTTTGTTTTTGAGATATAACTTTTTTTTTTCTATCAAGTAGTCTCCTATAAAAATATAATGTCAAAATTTGATATCAAAATCCATCCTTAATTAAAAAAAAAAATACTTATGCCTCATACTTTTGGTAATAGTGTACTTTTTTTCAACATTGGCAACATATACAAATGAACTCTTTATTTTCTACGAATCTTAATGTCTTACGGTGCCTTGAATTGTTCACAAAATTGAATCAATCTTGGAACGAAAACAGTGAGAGAGGGGTTCAAATTCAATGCTATTATTTTTACCCAAATATTTAAAGTTTCTTAGGAGTCTTATTTGAGGCTAGTGGGTTGAAACACTCCATGTCTTTATAATTTATTTAATAAAGATGTTTAAATTTTTTTAATGTTTATTGAATCAACTAATATTGTATTTGGTCCTCAAACTTTAAGGTCGAGTTTGAGTCTTGGATTTGTAAAGATAATTAATTTTTAATATTAATTTTTATTATTTAAAAATTTAAGGTAAAATTGTCTAAAAAATGTATATAACAAGTCAGTTTATCACCTTTATATATGTTATAAATAAATTTTCAATTAATCTTTGAATAAACTATATTTTAAAAATAATAATATTTAAAAACTTCAAAACTTCAAATTTTTTTTAAATATATTACCGATATTTTTCTCTTCCTATTCTCTTTTCTCCCTCACTAGTATCAAAAATCATTTTTGAAATTTTAAAAACTACATATATAAAAGCTAATTAGTGAGGTGGCAACCCATACTAATGTCAAAAACTTAAGATAAGGGGGTTGCTACTATACCTTCAATAAATGAGGAGTTTTTGTATTATCTTTAATGTGTATCAATAAAATAGATACATATCATTTAATGGAGTCATGAAAGCTTTTTAAATAAATTCTTTTATTTAAATTTTTTATATTATTTATTTTTAAGTTCTTATTAATTTTTTTAAAAATAATAATAATCATAATTATTATTATTAGATTTTTTGTTTGTTGTTGTTGAGGCTGCAGATTTCGATCAAATGTTTCAGTTAGGTTTTGTTTGAGGAAGAAGTTCACACAAGTACACGCAGATTTGATCAAAGATTGGATTTGTTTACATAGGTTTGGAACATGTGGAAGGAGATCGGAGGTTTGGAACATGCGGAAAGAGATATGAGGGTGCAACTTGTGAGGAAGGAAGAGATTATATCTCTCCTATGAGGAAGGAGATTGGAGGGTGCGGAAGGAGATTGTCTCTCCTCCTATGGGAAATACTTCCATCATTGTAAAAAGAAGGATGGCCTAAAGGCATACACCGATCTGGGAATTGAGGAACCTTAATGTCACCCTCCAACATCTTCAAAGCATCAACAATTATTGGCCTCAAAGCAACCATCACATGAGAGCATAGAATTTTTACCAACAAAAACCTCTCCATTATGATCTTAGGATTTGAGTTAGGAAATTTCTCATCCTCCACCAAGGAACCATCCAATGCATCTTCTATCTTCCCAACCTTCACTAGTGACCAAGCCTAATATGTGATCAAGTATGTCCTTGGTGATCCAGATGAAGACAAATCAAGAGCCATCCTTCCACACATTATCTCCAAAACCACACCAAACCTCACAAGAACACAACTAATGGAAGAAAAAATAATGAGCACTGAATTTAAAATCGAGTGATAACATAAAGAATAAGAAGAAATAATGATAAAGAAATTTCAATTGTAGGTGCACATATTTAAGTTAGGGTTCCCAACAATAGAAAAATATGCTTTTTTCAATAAAAAAGCACCAAATTAAAATATACAAATACAAAATGATGTGATTGAAAATTGATGATGTGACAAAAAGTTAAACATAAGTTCCAAAACCCTCCCAAAATGTTAAGATATGGTAAAAATTCTCTTAAGATAATTAAAATTTGTTGGATTGGGTCTTGGCAGTTGCATGAAGTGCTCCACATCAAGATCAAGAGCGAGTCGATTGAGGTTTTAGTTTATGATAATGTGAAAGTCAATGGTATCCATTTTGTTCTTTTTTTAACTCTCACACTTGCACTCTCCCTTCTTACTGGCCTATCTTTCTACTCTTCTCTCATTTCATCATCTATAATCCAAAAAGCCTCGTACACACAAGAGAGGCATGGAAGATGAAAGCCACACCAATTTGCCAAATGGGCTCATCACAAAAAGCCACCAAAGCCCTTCCTTAAAGACATGCAACAATGTTAACAACAAAGAACCATATTGCTTTCTCCCTGTAGCCAACGTTGGAAGAATCATGAAAAAGGTCATCCCCAGCAACAGAAAAATATCAAAGGATGCAAAAGAAACGGTCCAAGAATGTGTGTTGGAATTCATTAGCTTTGTAACCAGTGAAGCCTCCAACAAGTGCCAAAAAGAAAAGAGAAAAAACATCAATGGTGAAGATATCATTTAGGCCATCACCACCTTAGGGTTTGAGGATTATGTTGACCTTTTAAAGTTCTATCTTCAGAAATACAAAGAGATAGAAGGAGAAAAGATTGATATTCCTAAGCAACCACGTCCTGATCAACAAAAGTTACATCCACACCATGACCAAAATAATAATAATAATAATAATAATAATAAGAATAATAATAATAATAATAATAATAATGATAATGATAATAATGATGATAATAATGATAATAAATTGCGGGGCAGGTACATGGGCAAAGTGAGGAGTTACATACTCAAATATGATTTCTCAAGTCGGAAAAATCTGTACTTGAACTTGTACAAAGCGGATTTTTTCTGTCAAAATCAAGGCAAGGTGACAGGTAACCATGAGTGTGAATTTAGTTGTCATGCCATAAAAAAAAAGAGGGAAAGAGATGGAGGAAGAAGAAGGGAGGGAGAAAATATGGATTTAACCAAGTCTCTTGGCTTAATGGTTGTAGGGCCTACCTTGGGATAGGGGAATCGACTTGGTGGTCCTAGACTTAATTTTTTTTTTTTGTTAAAATAATATTGTCTAGTGGAAGTCACATTCCACAAGTGCAAATTAATTCTTGATTGTCAGTTTTTGAACACTACAAGGACCATATTTCCATGGAATAAAACATATGGATTTAAAATTGTAGAATAGAACACTACAAGGAGCACATTCAATTTTAGTAAGTTACTCTTTATATAATGTTTAAGGAAACCTGTTGAGATTTCCGTTGAAACACTTTTGTTAATATTTGTAAATTCGTTTAATTCTATCAACGGTCTCAAACACGGCAAGTATACCGGCCGTTCAAGTAGTAAAAATATCGTATCCACAGGGATTAGAAGGTAATATAAGCATTTATTGACTATTCGTGACTAAAGAATAATTCCAATTTCATAGTTTGTGCAGTGAATGCAAAGTTGTGACTATTGGAATGAAAGCTGTAAATAAATATTGTTTTGTGAGTGGAAAAGGTAAGAAATGATATTGTGAAATTGTGAGGTTGTGGGGGTCAGATTTCACCAAACGTAACACTAATGTATCCTTAATCTCTTGTTGAATTCATTGCTTAGTCAACCCATGAGTTTACTCAAACCTAATCCCTTAGAGAAAGAGCCTAGGTGCGGATATTGAATATCAATCCCTTGAGTACCCAATATCTACACCCGCATTACGGGCTAGGGTTTAAGACTACTAATGGGTCAAGCTCTATCCCTAGATACAATCACCACTAGGCATATGTTTCAGAACTAGTTTCAAAGGTTATTTTCCAATACCCATGGAACCTTAAATCATGCAAAGGGTGATCAATCCAAAGCAAGCATTAAGAATAGAAACATAAACAACAATGAATGAAACAACATGTATATATATCATAAAAACCGTAAGGATTACAATAGAATTCGTTGGTTACATCTAACCCCACAAAAATGGGTGAAACCACTCAACAAAGAGGGTAAATACAAAATAGAGATGAAGGGAGAAATGAAGAACCGAAGGAAAGACCCACACACGAACGGCTCCAAGCTCCGGGAATCCCTTCCACAGCTCCCAAAACGCGCCCAATGTGTGAATGAGGGAGAAACCCTCGAAAATGGCTTCAAATACGAGCCTGGGAGGTCAGATTAGGGTTTCGCGCCCGGCGCATAAGTCTTCGCGCCCGGCTCAGAGTCTTCTGAGCACTTTCTGCCTCGTTATAAGCCCGGCGCAATTACTTTTACGCCCGGCGCAGTGTCTTCCAGAGGCTTTCAAGCATTCTCTGCCTTAGATCAAGCCCGGCGCAATTCTCTATTAAGCCCGGCGCAATTCGTTCCAGAGAGTATTGAGGTACTCTCTGCCTCGATCACGCCCGGCGTGGTGGAGTCTCGCGCCCGGCGCATGTATGACTTCCAGAAGCCCACTGCTCTGTTCTTCTCAAGCCCGGCGCGGCGTCATCTTGCGCCCGGCGCAGCCACTCTGCTCTGCTCCTTGGCTCCTTATGTTTCCAATCCAAAAGATCTTCAATCCTCAAATCTCTAGCTCAATACCTGCACAAAAAATGAGGTGTATTAAGGTATTGTTAGCTAAAATGGGTTAGCTATATCTGCACAAAAGATGAGTCAAAAAGGGAACAATTAGGTTGCAATGGTGCTAAGAATGAGTAGAGTTGTACAATAATTCTCATTCAAAAAGATGTATAATTGAGACTTAACAAAACCCTAAACCAATACTAGAGATATTACATATAGGGATATACGAAAAAGTGTCACTATATATATAATATATGTAGGTATAAATTTATTTGACATTTAGTTACATACAATTTTAGTGTTGATTTTGAATGAGATTTAACAACATATATTGTATGTCGCTAGAACCTATACCTACACCTTTTAACAATATACTAACATATATTGTATTTATAGTGTAGGTAAAAGTAACTTTTAGTGACAAATATTTGTATCACTATAGGTTGTGTGTCACTATATAACAATTTTTTTTTATAGTGAACTCATTAATTTCATCAATTATTTATAGAAAATGAAAAAAAATCCAAATTTAAATGATCTTGTTTAAATAAAAAAGTTTTTTAATCAGTTAGATGTTATACATTGATTAAAACTGAGTTTTCCATTATACTCGATGTTTGATCGTAAGTAATAAAATCCCTAAAAAACATTTTGTGATTATGTATGAAATGGTAGGGTTTTGAAAATAAGAGTTATTGTTTGTTCTTTTGATTCAAATTGATTTATATGACACTGCTAAAGGAAAATTTGTAGAAGACAGATTTTGAATCTTTTCTCGCAAGAATACGCAATATAACATGTTTACATCACACATATTTAGTTGAAGGTTTTTGATGTGTATATTATGATCGAACTCTTAAATAATCTTGTTCTTAGATATCAAAAGGTCTCGTATATTGTTGAGGAGTTAAGGTTAAAAGTTATTTATAAACACTCATTTCTTTTAATCTATCAAGGTATTTTTTTTATAAAAAAAAATCATGACAATTCAACGAGCGTCAAAATAAACAATACATCAAATGTGGTGACCTTAGCAATATCTAGTAGCCTTGAGATTGAAACATTGGCATAGAGAAAAAGGATCTAGGCCACTCTAGTGCCTTTTCAAAAACAAAACTCTAACGACTCAACGAGCATTAAAACAAATAATACTTTGGATATGTTGACTCTAACAATGTGCAACAAATTTGCGATCAGAATATTGGTGTTAAAATAAAAATCTAGGCCACTATTGAGGAGGCATGTTCTAGTATGCCAAAAGTTTCACATCACTTAAGAATTTAGGAAAAGCTTAAAAGATCATTTCTGGGAATAAAATCTTGATAACCCAACAATTGTTAATGCAAATAATACTTTGAATGTAGTAACCTTAACGATGCTTAATTGACTTAAGATTAGAAAAAATCTTAATCCTTAATCTTAGAGGGAATCTTGTGTTGGAAAATTAATTCAAAATTTCCAATGATGAGTGAAGAGTTGTGAATAAAGAGTCATGAATAAAAAGTTATGAATGAAGATTCATTCTAACTCTTAAAAATACGAGATCTTGTGATGGGATTAGTTACCACCTAGAGAGGAGGTCACCACCTATTGAAAGACGAAAGTCATCACCTTATGTGAGAGAGGATTTTTATAATGGAAGGGTCTCCAAGTTTGTCCAAAAAAAACTTGTAAAGTAATGAAAAGCTTTCTCAAGTTTGTCTAGAAATAATTTTTATGCGATTTAAGAGAATGAATATCTATTAAGATGTTTCAATTGACATAAACAAGAGATGTCAAACCACGTTAAATCTGTGTCTTCGCTTATTTATGCTTGGTATTACATTTGTATGTATTCACACCTTTGATCTTCATTGTGTATGAAGGAGATTTTTTTCTCAACATTTTATTTTTATATAAATGCAATATCATAACAAAAAGATGAGAAAAAAAAGACACTTGTATTTAATAACTATAATTATCCACAAGTTATGAAATCTAAAATTGTCTAATAAGACAACAATTTTATACCGTCAACAAATCAAATGGCAAGTAAAATTCTTCATTTGTGTAATTAAAATAAGATAATATTAAATTTCTAATCAATATTCCAACATAAATTTTTTTTGTACAACACCACAAATATCTTTTTCTAAAGATAATTCTATTTAAGTTAGATAAAATATTTCTATTGACGTCAGAGTTTTTCCTTTAAGTGTTTAACAAATTTGTACGTCCAAGAATAAAAATAGGTAATCATTGATTAAGGTGGACTTTGCATATTAAGTAAAGTTTAAAAAATTATTTTGATTTTATCCATTAACTAAATGAACATTTTGCACATTTAAATTTAATAAATAATAACTGATCATTGACCTTTTATTTTCTTTAAAAAAAATTACATGACCTAAATTTTGATGAAACATTTTGTATGCTTTACCCCCAATAATGAGATTCATAAAATCAACTTACTATAATTGATATGATGAAAGAAAACAATTTTTGAAAGTGTTTATGGCAGTGACATGCTATTGCAATCACAACCAGGACCTGGCCCGCAAGTAAGACAAGCACACATGTGGGCAGCACTAGCTTGTTGGGCCACAAACTGCCCAGGCCCATCTACCTTCCACTTTCCACAACACAACAAAACCAATGTATGACCCATTTGATTTGAGAATTGTTTGGTCCACAGATCCAAGATAAGCTTCTAATAACTTCAAGCTTCTAATTGACTTGTTTCCCATACAATGGTCAAACAGACATTGTTGTCCCTTCAAATATTCAACTTGATCCCAAACCAAAACCCTAACTCGTGAAATGAAATTATTTTGTCCCCCCATCTTTGTTTCTTCTTATTTTTGTACGTTTGTTTATGGTCTTATACTACTCCGTTAGAAATATAATATGTGGCCTTGCATAATCATAAAATCATTAGATAAAAATAAAACATTATAAAGTTGGATGTAGACAGTCATGGAATTGTTTAGAATATTAGTTTGTGAGTACTTTAGAGTCCCTCGTGAACTTGGCATTGTATGAAGTGATATGTCTGGGCACTTTAAAAAAACTTGGGCTCGGGATTTTTTTTTTCTTCTCTTTTCCATTTCGTTTCGTTCGAGTTCAGATTATAACACAGCCTGCACATCTATGCCAAATCGTTGACATTAATGATGATCCTAAACAAAAGGATTTGACTTCTGGGTGGCTTTGGATTCAATCCAATACGAAGATTCAATGAACTCAATCCAACTAAAACTAAAAAAATTGGATTAGTTTGTATTATTGAATCAGTTCATATTTAAAAATAGAAGATCCAATCAATTTCATTCAGATTCAGATTTCTTATTTTTAAGAATTGAACTAAATTATCATCCCATTAATTTAATTATTATTATTATTTTGAGTTATAAATTAAGAGTATTAGATTAGTTCTCAATTATCAATTTTAGGAGAGTGTGATTTGTAGAAGAAGAAGAAAAGGTGCTTATGTAATTATTATACACACAATATCTTGTACAAGGCACGACAGTCACCATTTTAAGCATTTATTTACCAATCTGGCCAACCTTACTGAAAGCAAAACACATACATATATTGACACCCAACAGAAAATGAAAGTTGAATAAAAAAGGACCGTACATGAGATTGTGACATGGTAAATATTAAAAAGGGAAATAATAATTAGGCAAAAGAGTAGTAGCTAGATAAAGTTGGAAGAGCATTGGCATTGCCACTGAAAGAAGCTTTGGAGAGTGGTAACATCAGCCCTATAATGCTTCTGAGTGAATTCAAACAAATTGGACCATGTGAAATCAGGGTACTTCCTTTCTTCATTATTTGTGCATAAGAGATTCTCTGGGGGCCTCACCACCTTGTCTTCTCTTGGACACACAAAGTATACCAATGACCTTCTCTCCTTGTATGTGTTCACCAATGCCCTGTGTAGACAACTCTTGTATCTTCCATTTGACAATGCCTAACACACCAAGTCCCTTTACTTAGTATTTTCATTTCTTCATTTTATTTTCTATTTTTACTTTTTAATTATAAAACTGTTATTTTTTTTTAAAAAAAATATTTGTATAAAAAAAAGTGAGAAAAAAATTGTTTTCAATGTATACAAATCTTTGAAAATATAAAATAAATTGAAATTAAGGTGATAGATTTGTAATTAAGACGACAAAAATAGAAAATGAACAAAAAATAAAGGGACCCTAAACCTCTCCCATTACACATTAATTATTAATTATGATAGGTTTAACACGCCAGTAGTTTTTTCATTAAAAAAAATTAGTTATAACTCTTTATGTCCAAATAGTGATTATACATTTACATTTAATATATATTTTAATAATATACATTTATATATATTATCAAAATAAAACTATTATTTTAATTGGAGATCAATATCAAGTAAATTTAAAATCATAACTAATTTTTTTGTCATTTTAATTAAATTCATGATATTGATATAAAAAAAAGTATTAAGCATTAAAAATAATAGGAGTGTAAGTGGGTTGTATTGGGTTGAATTTAGATAAACCAGTTATCCGATCCAATTAAAATATCTCGAATTTATACAATGTTTTATAAAAACTCAATCCAACCCAACCCAATCACAAATAGGTTGGGTTAGGTTAAGTTTGATTAATCGAGTCAATTAAATTATATTTATTTATTATAAAAAATTAAAATTTTCAAAATAGATGTAAAACGTTTGATATATTGTTGCAAATTCAATATTATCAACCTATAAAATAAACAATAATAAATTTATTAATTTTTTATATGTTATCAACTCAAAAAAATAACATTAATTAATACAAAATAAAATTTAAAATAAATATATTATATTGTTACAATATTATTAATTTAAAACATAAAATTTGTTACTAAGTAAGAGTGACAATAAGTATTGTCCTAAACAAATGATCATTCAAACATTATTATTATTATTATTATTATATATGATTGGGTTGAGTAACATAAAATTCATTACTTGATCTGTATAATGACCTAAAGATAGAAAAAATTCGACTAGAAGTCATTAATTTACTTACATATTGCAACCAGAGTACATACACTCCTAAAGAGTACATACAAAATGAAAAAAAAAATGTGAGCCGGTCCGGATTCTCGTCAATTCGGCCCTATAGAAGTTCCTGGTTATAGATGGGTACATGGGGAGTTGGGCAGTGTATTTTCTCGGTATACCGATAAGAGTTCGATTGCTGTGCTATTCGACGCGGAGAACTTTGTTACTCTTCCTGAGAATGAGGTTCCATCCGGTTTCTTCTTCGATCCATGCCGGAACGACGGATCATGGGAATCGGATTTTGTGTTTCTTGGCCGAGGGCGATGTAAATACCACTTCTTTTTTGTGTATGATTACTTGTTTCGTGATTTGAGGGTGACTTTTACTTTTGACAAATTTTTTATGGGTGTGCTCCGTTTGCTCAATGTTGCGCCGACCCAGTTGCATCTGAACAGCTGGGCCGCGATGCAAGGGTTTCGGCAATTGTGTTTGAAACTTGGTATCGAGCCGACTCCCCATCTGTTCTTGTATTTTTACTCGTCTCGGCCTACGAAGAAGGCAAAATGGCTGTCGTTGGTTCGAGCGGAGCATTGTTTACTTTAGTCGTTCACAACCTCCTATAAAGGATTCAAAGTGGGATTCTTTAAGGTGATGATTCGGCCAGAAAACGGCAACAAGCACTTTTTCGATGATGCAGGAAATGCCTTGTTTCCTTTATATTGGACTCGGGCGCCGAGAAGATATGACGTGGTGTCGAAGTCCAAGATGTCTACTGAGGAGAAAGCTAACTTGGAAGTGTTGGAGACGCTGCCACAGCCG